TCATGCAGTAACCGTGGTTATTCTATTTGAGGGTTTGTGTGTGTGTGTGTGTGGTGAGGGGTTGTTTTGTTTTGTTTGTTTTCAAGTGCCTGCTCCTGCAACGCTTTACTTGATTTGAAGGGAGTTCCTGATCTTAGGGGAAGTTCACTGAGGTACCTTGAGAGGCTGACAGAAATAAGAGTGAGGCAAGTATAGGGAGAAGCAGAAAAGTTAAAAAAAAAAATGCAAACAAAACTGGAAATAAAATAATCCATGGTCTAGAAGTGCAGTAAGTACAGAGCTGTAGTGCAGTCTTATTCTCTGCACAGAACTCTTGATTACAGCAGGAAGATGAATGTTGGACTGAGGCCAGACTGCCAGTGTGAATTGAAGCGATTGGGAGATAGCATGAATTAATATTGGACATAGCACCATAAGCCTTTTAAATCTCATGTTCCCTTTGCATGAATGTGCTATTAAATTATTGTGGGTTTTTGTTCTGCTACTGCGTGCATAGATAAGCAACAGTGATGCATATTTGTTCTCCACATGCTTGTAAAACAGAACAAATCCGTACAGTAACATACCTTACAGATCCTTTTGTATGCTATAATGTTCTTAGTACAGCACTACTGGAAATAATGACATGTACATATTCTCTCTTTGTTCTACCAATAATAGTATCCCTTATGAATATAAAGAAGCAGAGGGAATGTACTATCTTTTAAATAAAATTTCTCTTTGAATACTATGAAAATATAAAGCTGAATGAAGAGAGTAACAGTATTCATCTGTAAATACTTTTTTTTTTTTTTTTTGCTTTTGGAACAGATAAAACTTGTGAATTAGATTGAATTGCGTGTAGTTATGTAATCCCTAGCAATTAAAATGGACTTTAAAAAGATTTGAGAAAGGTCTTCTGCTTGTCCTGTTATCGGTGCTATTTTTGATCCCCCTGCAAGGCCCCTTGTCCCTTCAGGCAATCAATGGTTCTTTCCAGTTGAGTATCATCAGCAAGCTTGCTGAAGTTGCATTGAATTCTTGCATTCAGATCATTCATAAAAATGTTGAACAGAACCTGCTGTAGGACTGAGCCTTGGGGAATGTGTCTGAAATGCATCTGGAACTGCAAGGAAGGTAAAAAGCTAGATTTCAGAAAGCTACACTTAAAAAAGGAATAGAAAAACATGTCCAGGTCCTACCAATACAAAGCCACGTAACATTTTTGAGGGAATCCAGTGACTGAATTTTGCCAAATGCTTGTACCTGGCATTAAAATGTGACTGAAGTAGGAAGGTCTCGAGATGTTTCTAATGATAAGAAATCATATGTACGATCTCTCTCCTTTTATGGCATTGTATGTGTCCTTGTGACTAATGATGACAGGGGCTTGATCTCTGCCTTTGATATACTCTTGTCAAATTGCAGAGAAATCTGTTTTTTGGTACTGGAAGTAGATTATAGAATGTCTTTAAATAGCACACCATAGCATCACATTTTTGGACTGGTCTTATGATGATGCCAGTTTGTGTCTTAGTGGAACGTGGGCTGACATTAGGAACACGTAATATCTTTCATTATATACCACTTATAGAATTTGAAGCATTCTGATTTTTCAAAAATTGGTTGGCTGTCATTTCTGCATTTCACAGGCCATTAAGTCTTATAATATTTATTTGGTTGATCCTTAAGTCTCCCTTTTGCAGTTGTATGTCACCCTACTGAAATGAATGGGCTGAAGGGTACGAGCACTAACTGATGAAGGCAGTAGAGACAGAGGTAATATAATCTGTCTTCTGCCACGAGGGATCTGAAGGGGAACAGCCTGTAGGTTTGTTTGGACAATGGGAAGGGAGTGGACCTGGGCAATGACAGATGTGCCTAACCCACTTGCTGCACCATTCAGTTTGTCTCCATGTGCCAACACCTTAAGGCGAGTGGCTGGAGTGAGTGCTGCTCTTCTTTCATTCTTACGGCAAGTCCCAAGTCCTTCTTTGGTTTACCTTGCACTAAGGAGAAGTGCCTGCACGTTTTATTGAGACGGTGCAATTGTAGCTGTACTACCAGATATAGCCAAGCTGCATTTTCATGGTATCAGTCCCAATGTAGATTTTCCAGGCAGGAAAGGAGTATCTGGTTTGTACACTGCAGTTGTTACAGGCTGGGGGTAGAGGGAGCAAAGATCTGGCACCTTTAGCAGCAGTGTCAAAATGCTATTTTAGGTCTCGTCTGCAAATACACGATGTTGTCCTATTCATGAAGTAGGACCTCCTCCTCTGTGTACATACAGGATTAGGGGTAAATGTTAAATTGGCTTAGTTGGCAAGAGCCTGTGGCTGCTGGGCAGTGGGAATCGCTCTCTGATTTGCTTGGGGTGAACGCATTAGGAGGACAGAGGTGTGGTCAGCTTCTCGATCTTTCTCAGATGCTCAATTTGCATTTGGTTTTGCACTTCACAGCCACCTTGACAACCCGCAAACGAACAAAACTAACAGAGAACAAAAGCCACAAAAGCCCAAAGGAAAAAAAAAAATAATAAGAAGAAAAATAAAATAAAAAAAAAGAAACAACAATAACCGGAAACCAAAGCCAAGAGCATCTCTTTGGGCACGGAGATTTTCGCTGCGCTATTCAGCGCTGGAACACGAATCGCCGTCATTAACGCGCCGATCCAGAGCCGCCGCCGGGCCGGGCGCAGTGCGGGGCGCGGCCGCGAGGGGCCGACGGCGGGCCGGGAGCGGTGCGATGGAACGGCCGCGGCCCCACGGCTGCCCCCGGCGGCGCGCAGGCTCGGCGGGCGGCGCCTCCGCGGAGCAACAGGGCTCGAGCCGGCGGCAGCACTGCGAACGGCCGCGCGGCTTCCGCGGTTGCTGGGTGCCGCGTTGCAAATCGGGCGGTGGGAGCGTGATAGCAGAGAGCTGCTTTTTCCTCGGGTGGTTTTCCTTTTATTGTTATTATTATTTTTTTAATTGTTATTTTTGTGCTTTTTGTAAGCGTTACCAAAAAAACCGCACAACAAGTGAACGATGCTGGCAGCTGCTGGCTGAGCTGCTGCTGTTTGGATGTGACGGGGAGAAACAGCAAGAAGCAACACTGGTCCTCCCATCAGTGGAAATAGGCTTGGTACACGGATTACTTAACGTTGATTTACAAATCTGCAGCAGGAGCTGGGCTCGGGAAGCCTAGTGATCACACTCCCCCATTCATTCCTTTTCTCTCACACACACGAACACGCTCACCTCCCCCTTTTTTTTTCTTTTTTTTCTTTTTTTTCCTTTTGGAACAAGGCTGTTGCTTATTGCCTTTTTGCAAACGCCTGGGTGAGAAGCTGCGGTTGTGCAGAGTGCCCCCAGCTTCAGCTGCCTCCTTGGCTCGTTCTTGGCGCTCTTGTTGCACGGGGAAGGCAGGGAGAAAAATAACTCGTCAACCTGTGGTGCCGACTGACCTACCCACCTGCAGGCGTCGGTCAATTGGCGCAGCCCCCTGCTCAGGACTGCTGTCACCAGATCCTTACGCTGGCAAGAGCAGCACTGCTATTTCTCTGCCTATGAACAGTAAGTATAACAGCAATCCTAAGACCCTTTTTGCATGTCGTATAGGTATGATTTTAAAAATAGCAGTCATTATTTGTGTGCATTCACCTTTCGTATATTAATAGATACAGCTGTAGATGAGGCTTCTGTTTCAAAGGGGCGTGCATATGTGAATTCTTGCATGTGTTTGCATGTAGATGTTGCTTCAGTGCACCTGCAGTAGTTTGACATGCCGTATCATGGTGCTTCCACTTGAGTGAGCACTGTACCTGCCCGTTTCCCAATTAAATTCAGTAAGATGTTTGTTACAGTTGAAAATCCAACTGAAACACAGCTTTCTTAAATCTGGTGTTTTTAGAGATAATATGAAAAGCTCTTTGCATAGATGCATTTCTTACAGTACTTCATGTAGCTATATGTAGGTGTGCCTATTACGTATGCACTCAAAGATCTGAATGCATCGGGTGTTGCAGTGTTTTATTGGTGTTTATATGTGTTGGTGTTTCACAAGCATGCATGTGTTTGTGTATGGATGCAAGTGCTTGTACGGGTGGGGATTTTGTATCTCTGTCTATATATATATGACATACCCACCCACATCCTTATGAGCAGAGTCGTTCACATTCTCTGTGCATGTGATGTGGGTGTGTGTGTAATGTAGAAGTGTGAATAGTGTGGGAAGGGGAAGCTTAGAATACCGTGGTAATAGATGACACAGTTTCATTTGATCAGTGTGACCTTTTAGGAAAACAATCCAATCTTTTTTCCTTTTTGTTTTGTTTATTTTTGTGTGTTTGTGCATGTGCCTCAGGTTAAGTGCTTCTTCTGCATGACCATAACCAAAGGGTGACCCATCCACTCCCTTATGTCCTATGGGGACCTCAGAACCAATTTCTCAGTCTTCATCTCCTCCTCCTCCTCTTACCACTGCTGCTGACGCCCTGGGTGCTGCTCCCAGGTTTGAAACATTGTTGACAGGCTGAAGAAAGGATTTGCAAAGACCTCCTCACTGTGTAAAGAGAGTGATGGCTGGAATTAGTTTCAACTCCCCAAACAATGGTATTAAACAATAATAAGATTGCTAGGCCAAAGCATTACCAGGAACAAATTATGAGGAAAGAGACTATTTGCATTTGCTCGCAATGATGAACTAAAATCATTTATGGAGAGCAGGTACCCTTTGTTTTGCATGTTTTTGTCTTCATGGATGTAGTCATGAATCTGATCAGATCAGTGATAGATATGGGAAATAAATGAAAATAAAAGGGCTTAGTGGATGAGAGAATAAAGCCTCTGCTGTTCCTTGGTCTAGTTTGAGAGTTTCCTCTTTTCTTATTAACAAAACAATAGGTTTTTTTTTTTGTTGTTGTTTTGTTTTGTTTTCCCTGAAACGTTTTAGACAGTAAGAAAATGCAGATCTGTGGTTTCCTAAAAGATAGATTCAGCGTTGCAACTATGTTGCCCTGCTCTGTGTCCAGTGCACTGTCCTCCAATGCAAATGGCTTTATACTTTCTATGGTGAAAGTTAAGGTTGCACCGTAAATAAAACAAAAGCTTTTGCACTAAAGGACGAAAAAGCTGTTGCAAAATGGAGGTTGCAATGGTGAGTGCAGATAGCTCTGGGTGCAACAGCCATATGCCCTATGGATATGCGGTCCAAGCTCGGGCCAGAGAGAGAGAGAGGCTGGCACAATCAAGAGCTGCAGCAGCTGCAGCTGTAGCAGCAGCAACTGCAGCAGTAGAAGGGGGGGCAACAGGTGGAGGTGGACCGTATCACCACTATCACCAGGAACAGAGTCGAGGTGCTTCTTCCTCACACGGTGGGAACGCATCACGCAGCAGCCTGCCCAACCGCCACAGTGGTAAGAGATGGAAGAAAGGCAAAAAGAGGAGCCACCACTTGGGAAGCAGGGAGTGTGGAGCCTCCTTCCCCTGTTCTGAGCTGCTTCCTCTCAGTGGTTCTGAAGAGAGAATACTGAAGGACGTGAGTGAGGAGGAAGAGGAGGATGAAGATGAGGATGAAGACGATGAGGAAGAAGGAAAACTCTACTACAGTGCCGACTATGGGGAGGATGAGTTTTCGTACTCAGACCAGCCACCTGATGATGGTGGAGGCCCCGGGGGTTACAGCTCTGTTCGCTACAGTGAGTACGAGTGTTGTGAGCGTGTGGTGATCAATGTGTCAGGACTGCGGTTTGAGACACAACTGAAGACATTGGCTCAGTTCCCGGAGACATTGTTGGGTGATCCAGCGAAGCGAGGCAGATACTTTGACCCTCTCAGAAACGAATACTTCTTTGATAGGAACCGTCCCAGCTTTGATGCCATACTGTACTACTACCAGAGTGGTGGTCGGCTGAAGAGGCCAGTCAATGTACCCTTTGACATCTTCAGTGAGGAGGTGAAATTCTACCAGCTTGGGGAGGAAGCCATGCTCAAGTTTAGGGAAGATGAAGGGTTTGTCAAAGAGGAAGAGGACAAAGTTTTGCCGGAGAATGAGTTTAAGAGGCAGGTCTGGCTACTGTTTGAGTACCCAGAGAGCTCCAGTCCAGCCAGGGGCATTGCCATTGTCTCTGTCTTAGTCATCTTGATCTCCATTGTCATCTTTTGTCTGGAGACTTTGCCGGAGTTCAGAGATGACAAAGAATTCATAATGTCCCTGAGCTCAGGGAAGGGTCTTTCCAATGAGTCGCTTCACTTGGACGCTGGGGAGCACACCATCTTCAATGACCCTTTTTTCATTGTAGAGACAGTATGCATCATTTGGTTCTCCTTTGAGTTTACAGTGCGCTGCTTTGCATGTCCAAGCAAAGCACATTTCCTCAAGAACATCATGAACATCATAGACATTGTCTCCATCTTGCCTTATTTCATTACTCTGGGCACTGACTTGGCGCAGGAGCAAGGCAGTAATGGTCAACAGGCCATGTCTTTTGCCATCCTGAGGATCATCCGTCTGGTCAGAGTGTTTCGCATCTTCAAGCTTTCCAGGCACTCCAAGGGTTTGCAGATCCTGGGTCACACACTCAGAGCAAGCATGAGGGAACTCGGCCTCCTCATTTTTTTCCTTTTTATTGGAGTAATTTTGTTTTCCAGTGCTGTTTACTTCGCAGAAGCTGATGAGCCTGCCACCCATTTTCAGAGCATCCCAGATGCTTTTTGGTGGGCCGTGGTGACCATGACTACTGTTGGTTATGGGGACATGAAACCCATAACTGTGGGTGGGAAAATAGTTGGGTCCCTGTGTGCCATCGCGGGAGTGTTAACCATTGCTTTACCAGTGCCAGTGATTGTCTCCAATTTTAACTATTTCTACCACAGAGAGACTGAGAATGAAGAACAAACGCAGCTGATGCAAAATGCAGTCAGTTGCCCTTACCTCCCAACAAATTTACTGAAGAAATTTAGAAGCTCATCATCTTCATCCACAGAGGATAAATCAGAGTATTTGGAGATGGAAGAAGGAGTTAAAGAATCTCTTTGTGTAAAGGAGAAAAAAAGTCAGGACACGGGGAACAGCAGTGAGTCAGAGAAAAAAAACTGTGTAAATTCAAATTCTGTGGAAACTGATGTGTAATTTCCAAATATATTTATTTTATGTTTCCAAATATATTTATGCATTAAAGAGTGCAGTGGAAATAATGAAATATGCAAATGAGTCCGCAGCATACAGTAGTATGCCATTTAATGGTTAAATACAAATAAAAAAACATTGTTAAACTTGTATAACATATCAAGTAAGTGGTAGAACTTGAGGAAGGGGTTGCTAGATCTGATATAACTTCAGACTGTGTTTGTTTTTTTAGAATGCAAGTGTTTTGCACATGAGGCTGAAAAATTTATTAAAACCAAGTCAGTTTTAAAGTGAGTGCATGAACTGTCGACATCACTAATAACAGCTCTGTGGTAAAAGTTGGCATTCAGAGGTATTTACTATGTAAGAAGCAATGAACTTTGGAAGTCATTTATCTATTTATCAGTGCTTTAATAGCAGCTACCATAAATCATTGGATACCATAGTCTTGTTTTTCAAATGGTAAATTTATTGTATAAAGTTATTCTACAGAAGATAGATCTAATTTTTTTTTTTTTTCTTGGAATCTATAATGCTTGTTTTTAACTGGAAATTTACTTTGAGAAGGCTGCTGAACCTCCAGAAATGATTTATTTTTATAACTCTCTTTGGAGGCGTTGCAGCATTTGTTGTCTAATAACGAAAGTAATGAAATAAGAGAATTGTTTAGCCTGGTCTGACTGCAAAGGCAAAATGACTGGAATGCTTTTTTGCACTACTTTATATGCTGGAGTTATACTGAAAGAGACTTCATACTGTGAATGTTTACTAATGTAATAGTTCAATGACAATCATTGGAAGAGTGAATTCTGCATCATATTTTATTGCCTTTTTTGTTTTGTTTTGTTTTGTTTCATTTTGTTTTTCCTTTATGTGATGCTGATGGCAAAACAGCTTACATTACATCAATTCCGTACTCTTTTAATTATGACTATATCTGTGATCTGGAAAAGGATTGTGAAGTAAAATTTTATAATCAAAATTATTTGAAATTAGTGTTTTCTAGTGATACTCTCAACTAATATGAACTTAATGTATATATTTTTTCCAGGTTAATTTAACATTGAGAGTTAATGTTTAATACATGCACTTTGTCAGTATCGAAGTAATTCAGTGTATGGGAGAAGAGGTAAAAGTAATAAGATACTCGGTTGTTACAGAACTAACAATTCAAAATTACTAACAGTTAACCTGTTATTGGTGCTACATTTTTTCCCTTAGTTCCAGCTTCCAAGTTGGAAGCAAAATTTAGAATCCAAAACAGGCATTTTGGGATTCAAAATGATTGTGTTGGGTCCAATGTAGTCCTTGGGAAAACATTCCATGATTTCTTTTCACTGATTCTTAGACCAGCTGTATCTTTGTGTCAAAAATTTCCACTGCCCCTTCTAGGAGATTAAGGTAGGTAAAGATTACCTGACTTACAGCACATTCCAGACACCAGAATTAAATAGGTAAGATAATCCTGCATTTAACACAAATAATAGAATTAGAACAGGTGTTTTTTTCAGGATCATGATTACCTAGGGTGGTAATTGGAGCTGTTTTTGGGAAGGCACTGTGGAACATTCCCAATTATAGAACTTGAACCAACTTGGCATATGCACTTTAAGGACATTGTGAGAGAAAAGAGTGCTTACAAACACTATTGAGTTGCAGTAGTTTTCTGATATTCCTTTAAAGCTGAGGAGGGAGTTTGCTGGAGAGAACCAGTTAGTGACTTACGGTTCTGGTGCTGAAAAGCAAAAATAAAACATGTCCAAATTGGGTAGCTGTGATGGTATGCATCATCTACCAGATAGGCATTGTTTGCTGTGTGCAGCATCCAGTGATACAGAACAGAGCCATAGCCAAAGGATTTTACTTACTGATTGATTGTTGGCCTTCATGGATTTTCTGTGAATCATATTTTGGAAAACTTTATCTGCTAGTCTCCTATTGTACTGCAGAAATCATAGCAAAAAAAAAAAAAAAAAAAGGCTCAGAAAAGACTGCATTGTACTGAGCCCTGATTTAAAACTTGTATGTGAATGTCCAGTTCATAATTTTAAACTGTAGAGAAGGCTTCACTCTATTTCTGATGTGAGGCATTAAACAAGGCCTCTTTTTAATATGATGGTATGAATTTCAATCATGTTCTGGATCAAACACTTCAGTCGTTTCATGTACAGGTGTTTGTCAGAATTAAATATTGCATTTATTTCATGGCTCACCTGGGTAAATGAACTAAATGCTTTTTTCCAATGAGGGCAACATCAGCGACAAGGGTGAGCGTTCTGTGAAGTCCAGCAAACATCTGTAAGTGAGAGTGTTTCTTCAACACCTTTAACTGTTAATAAGGTAAAGAACATAAGGGTTCAATTGTATGCTAGTTTGCTAGTGGTTCTGTGTAGTACCAGCAACCAGAGAAGGACCATAGCAAGAATGCAGAAATAAAGGAAATAATAACTAGGCAAATAAAGAACTTAGAAAAATAATGAGTATGTATTTTCAGTATTGATGGGCTGAAAGGAAAGATGGTTAATAAGAGGGGGAATTTGTTTTATGTCTAATAGAAATAAGAAAGAAAGCTTTTTGAATAACTCCTAGAATATGTTCACTCAGAGGAGGTGGAGCTCAGCATGAGGTATCTGCGTGAGTAGTTACCCAGCTTCTCCAGCAAGTTGTGCAGGTATTGTGCTACCAGTACACAATCTTATAATTTAAAACAAGCATGGTGTGGCCTGCATTATGCTATGATCACAGCAATACCTTAATCTCTGAAAGAAAATTCTTGCTGGAGGATGTTTTAGCAGAGCAGCATTCTGGGTGTGTCAGCACTGCGTACTGCGGTACTGCGGAGACCAGTCCTAATACCAGTGGAGCCTGCTCTGCCTCCTGCAATGTATGAGCCTCTGTACTTGTAACTGTCATTATAAATAAGAGCTAGCATTGCCTAATATTAGATTGTACTATCAGTTTGGCAGACCATTCTGAATCACAGAAAGGACTGTGCATTTCAGAATGGAAGCAAATGCCTTCACTTGGGCTGGCTTTTAGTTTGATTATTCATCTGTTCATTAGTCTACGTTCTTAAAACACAGCTTGAAAAAGCCAAAGTCCTACCCCTACCGTGCTAAAACCCAAAGATCCCAAGTGCTTAATAAGAAACCAGAATTTCCCTTGAGGATCACTTAGATGGAAATTTGTGCCAGAGAAACCCTGTGTTTGAGCTGTTTCTGCTCCAGAATGCAATTGCTCCTTGCCCGAGTTTTTACAGTGATACTGGATACCAACAACTATCAGAAAAATAATTTTGTAATCACTTGGGCATTTTGCATTTTAAATTATAGTGGTGAAATGCATTCCTGATGTAACTGACGTGAATGGAGTTACACTAGGGAACATTTTAGTTCTGATAATGTAGTTCAAATGATTTCACGTTGACATACATTTTAGCTAAAAATAATGCAAAATGAGACTCTGATATTTTATGCTCACTTGCAGCGGTGAAAAAATTTGGAGGAGGCTCCACTGGAGTTCATGAAATCACAGCAGCATCCAATCAGATTTCTGATACTGATACTTAATTATCTACTGGCCCTTAATTAAAATATATATATATGTATCTACATAAATCTTTTTATAGCAGTCGTAAGTGCCAAGGCAAGGCTCTGAAGTAGTGTTTTGCCAGCTGAAGAATGAAATTAAAGGCATGATGTCAGAGATAGGCTGTTTGGTTTTTTTCCCTTTATTACAGTGATCAAGTTTTCAGATACTGCATTGTTTACTTGAAAACTTCAACCTAGCTACTGAAATTTGTATTGAAACAAGTGTTGTGTCACCCTGCTAGGCAGTTCTTTTTATAGTCTGGCTAAGCTTTCTCGGATTGATTCAAGAGGCCAGTTCTGTTTGCTGGAGAGTGTAGTTTTTGGGTTTTCATATTTGAAAGAGATTCTTCTGCTTACATAAATTTGTTGTGCACAGCCTGTTTCTGTGACATCTGTGCAGTGTGGAATCATTTGGAGAGGGAATGCTACCATGATTTGCATCTAACTCATTACAATGGAGTTCTTGGTGTCTATAGATACTAATGGGTGTTATGAACTTCTGATATTGAGATTTGAATGTCTTACCAACCAGCAAAACTATTCAAGGAGCTTTAGAGCAGGAAAATGGTTATTTATTTTTTTAGCATAATATTAGTATTCAAAGAACTTGGATCAGGTCATAATATTAAATAAATGATTACTGTCTTGTACCTCCTGATGTGAAAAGTCCCTGTCAAGTGTATTGTTAGGTCATGAAAGTCACTTGGCTTAGGCTATGGGAAATCATTGTTAAGCTGCCCAAGAATATGAAGTACTAACTTTTCATATTTGGATAAATGTAGGTTAAATGCACTGTGGAGATATAGCAAAAAATGTTAGAAAACCAATTCTATGCCTAAGTAATTAGTGAAAGTGTGTCTTTCTGGTGACACTAAACTCCTAAAACTAATTCTGAGCATACATGACTTTTAGCATAAGCTTTACAGAGGTAATTGATAGTCCTCAAATTAAATGTGAACTATTCATGGTGCTTGAGATTATGTAACTAGCTTCTTCTAGGTATTTCTTACCAATTCTTTATTACTTCTCCTGCCATGTTGTCTGGTTATGAATATGGGCCTGTTTGTTTGTTTGTTTTAATTGGCATGAGACAATAACAAATACAAGCAAGGTTACGCACACACACACATATATAATATCCAACATATATATTACATTTTTTAATTATCATAAAATAAACCTAAGTGACAGCATGTAACATTTTTAATCATTGGAGAGGGTTGGCCTTTTCCTGTTGCTATAACTTAATGACGAAGTGTATCTGATTTTGTAGGGAATAAGTCTCTAATTTGGTGGCTTACTGTATTTATGCACCTCTGTTGGAAAAAAAAGGCTTGTAGAAAAGTTGGCAATTTTTTTGAAATGAATTTTCTTTCATTTCCACAGAGATCATCCTATGTGGAAAAAACTGTTGACATTAATGCTGAGTTAAAAGTGCATAAATATTTTGTACTTGGCAATCAGGTACGAACGTGAACCATTACATGTTGCTACCATGCTTTCTGTGTTCAGAGCTCTGATGACATGAATTCTGAAAGAAAAGTCATTAAACCATTATGTTCTGAAACGGTTGAATTTCTATTTTTAATCCTTTTCTGTAGAATTATAATGTTTCTTGAGACCTTTTTCTGTAACAGGTCCTCTGGAAAATAAATATGTAAGGGTAAAAGAAGGAAAGAAGAGAAATCTTAAATTACATGTCAAAAACTGTAACATATTCTGTTAGAGGGAAAAGCGGTAAGTAAAAACTTCATTTTGTTATATATTCACTTATGCATGTGTGGTATTGCCATTGAAAACAAATCAGCAATTGGGTTGAAACTGCAATTGCAAGAGAGGTACTTCATGCATTGTATCTGTTAAAGGTACTCTGTGATCTCAGGAGCAGCAGCTGCATCTTTGATAGAGGATTAGTGCCTATTGGTGCAGCTTTGTAATGAATTCAGAACGTCATCCATCTTGCAGCTGGGAAAGTGCTTGTTGTACCTGTGGGGTGTGGAGTTGGAGAGGTTACTGTGAAGTTTCTGGTCTGTGTGGTAAGTCTGTGTTTCTACTATTGTTATCCTTTCTGAGTGACAAATAGTTTTTAAATCATTTGTTTGGAAATGCTGTGTAGCTGGCATCTGGAACCTGGTCTGGTACCAGAGCTGGAGGTTGGTGGCCC